AGCGTGTTTTTTAGTTTTTTTAAACTATATTTTATTAGTGTTGGTAGATATATTGTATATTGTTGGCTGCTCGTTGAGAGACATGCTCGTTTTCGTGTGTAGTTTGGAGTGAGAAGTCCATAGAAAATTGCCAAATAGGGACTTTTGTAATTGTAATAGTAATTTAAAAAATTACAGACCTTTAGAGTTGTGAATTTCATGCACTAAAATAACATGAAAGATGCCTGAAATATTACATTAAAAACCACATTAATGATGGACACAACTTGGAATTTTTTTTGATTGGTCTAAATGTAATTTGGTTTACCCTAATAAATATTTTTATAAAATATAATGATTGTTATGATCACACGGTTTTGAGCTTGTAACCCTGTACCTGATATTTAGCCAATGACGAGCTGTATGATTTTCACAATGGAATTTAAATGAATGTATATGACCAATTATTGGATATTCTTTTTTTTTTGTGGAATTTTTAACGTGCTAACGATTTGATTTGTTGAAAATTTGATTGTTTATTTCTGTAGGAGAATTTTTTGCTAAAGAGCTCATAATTTACTGTTCACAAATTTCTTTCTTAATTATGTACCAGGGTTGTCCAGTGGTAGTTCAACATAGCAATATGGTAACAATCTGGACGTTCTCGATTTTCTTCCAGTTAGTGTTAGAAAGGGGTGGCGATAAAATAGTTAGTATTGGTATGCGTACATAATAAAGATGAATATAAGATACTTTGTGTTGCTTAATCTGCTGATGATATTGTTATTAATTTAGATGCCAGTTTTGGTTACCTTCAAAGGCTGTATCAAGTTGTTTTTGAGCAACTTGTTATTATTTTAATTGGTTTAGGAAATATCTATTATATCTCAATAGCCCTTAGGATTGTTTCGATTAGTTAGTGCATTTTTAACATCTAGTTTGGTCTTTAAGGGAATGATGACGAAAGTCAGGTGATTTTGAAGGCGGTGGAGAACATCAAGCAGTTAATGTTCCGAATTGCTTCGGTGGTGTGTAAATAATAGAAGAGTCCGACACATCAAAGAGAATCAGATTATGATAGAGTAATTGGTCTTGGATGTTAGTGATGTTTTATATAAAATATTTCAATCTTGTCATTAATTATAAATATCTAGTAAAATTCGCATGGGGAATGAGTTGGTTCGATGGATAGTGTGTCGAGGTATCCTGTGACGCCGTGCATATGTCAGCAACGTGCTTAAGTGATACGTTTAAATCTTTTGAAATAATAATTATTTTGTTGAATTTTTTTTTTAACAATTATTTCAATTTTAAAATACGTTTATAGCATATCTTTTATTATTTATCACTAATAAAATCAAAAAATTAAATTTATTTTTTAGCTAATACTTTTATTTTTCCTTTTTAGTACAGATTGTCTATATAAAATAAAAAAAATATTTATTTTTATTTTCTTTAACTTTTTTCAAAATTTAAAAAAACCATTATAGCTTTTTCCCTAGAAAATTATGATGAGATAATAATAATTTAAGGACAAGTACTTAATGAGTTACAAGCTATTAGATAAATAGAATGGATATGGACGCTGGCATAGTACAAGCAGCACATATTTTTGAAATATTAAATTTGAGTATTGCCAGTTGGAAATCTTTTCTTATGGGTCTCAAAATAATGTCCAAAAATTTGAGCATGATATGACATTATTAACAGGGCGCACTATAAGCTCAGAGCTTAGAGAAAATTTAAAAATTTGTAGTTTTTTTTTATATTTCTCCACAAGTTTTAATTTTACATAAAAGTCATTATGCTTTATTAGTATAATTAGTATTTTTTTTTAATATGTTTTTATTAATTATTTATATTGATACTATATTTTTAAATGTGTTTTCTAAATTGAGTTTTCGCCTTAGATCTATAACGATCCTAAGACAGCAATGACCGAATGTCGTCAGATAGTCCTTTTGGCCAATGGAGTATTCCGTCACCGAAATCCTACATAATTTAAGGAACGATATATTAGTATTAAAATAATACTAATAATATCATTAAAGTATCTTGTAAATAAAAAATTATGTATTTCTACATTTATGAATAATTTTTAACTGATATTTTACTTTTCAGGTGAACCTAATGATGACACAATAAACAGTAATTTAACACTTATAAGTATATATTAGTATTATTTTTTCAATATAAAAAAACTATTTAAATTACATTTTTGTGTAATAATATAAATCATTAAATTTAAAGTAAAATAACTAAAATAAAATAGACAAATATAGTAAATACATTAATATGATAATAAAATGTATTAACTATTTAATTTGTAGAGAATCTAGAAGATATATCAAATGAAAATAAAAAATAGCCTTATATATATTTGTTTAAATATGATAAATATATTATTACGGTTATAATTATAATAACATATTAACATATTTGAATTACTATGTACCGATTAGAATGTCATAACTTTTAATGTATACAGCATTTTAAAGTAATTAATTAATAATAATAACTAAGTAACTATTATTATTAATCCTATTAGTCAATGTATTACAGTATTCGGTTACCAATGACAACTCAAACCACTTATATACTTTTAACTTTAGCGTTATAAATTTGAAAAATAAATTAATAATTTACCCTCAAAGTTATGTCGCCATTTGAAAGTGAGGGTGTTTTAGTGTTGACGCCATACAGAAGATGTGGTAACCTATATTGAACCATAAATACCATCCTCTGGTTGAAGTCACGCAGTTGATTTGGTAACTCACCTAGAACTAGTGGTAATAACACCAAAATTATAATGTTCTCCTAGGGAGTAACGTGTAATATTTCCAGACCTCTAGAACCGGCCATTTCTGAGATACCAACAATTTTATTTGAACTATAAAAAAATTCAAGTTCATCATAAACGCAACAAGAGTATTATAACTAATGAGTCCCCGATATCCGAGATTATAAAATGCTGCGAGTTTCAAACATATATAGAAAAAAGCTTCTTCTAGATACGAATGACTTATAATAAATTTTATCCGCAAGATTTCTCTTGAAATAATGGTCATGTTAAGAAAATCNATCCGCAAGATTTCTCTTGAAATAATGATCATGTTTAGAAAATCATTTTTGGTATTATTAATTTCATATGTTTATCGATTTATCAATTGAAATACATCCTTTATACCTTGTAAGGGTGTTAACTTCGTTTTATAATGGCAGCATACGAATTTAACTAGCTTATAAAATATAAAATGATCTAATTAAGTAAATAATTGGCTTATAACAGATTTTGACTTATCATTTCGAAAGTTATAACTACATAGATCATAGAGTAAAGTTGAAGTATATTATGTTATTTTTATCATTACTCATTCCTTTGCCACGCTATTTATCACTCTATATTCAAAAATGGTAATAATTTCATAATTATTATTTCAAAAATTGTTTCCAATGAGTCATTTTCTTAATTAGATAATGATTTATTTTATTAGCTTATTAAATATTTAAGCGACATTTAATAAAAAAGTTGACATCCTTATAATGTATAAAGGACGAATTAAAAAAAAACTTAATTAAGAAATATAAAAAATTATATACTTAAAATTATAATTACAATTATACTTAAAAATCATAAAACATTTATCAGGATATAAATAAAGGAATAGGAGTATATGTTGTTTTAATAACTTCTTCAAAAAATTAAATTCTATCTTTAGATTTACATCGAAGCGTTTTTCATGATAGTGATTTTAATCACTATCAGTTATAAACAATACTTGTCTCAACTAGCTACAACCCTCTGTGTTGTGTTTTAATAGTAAACGAAGATTTATCTAAATTAAATTTTAACTGGTCGATAACAAATTTTATAATATGACTTTATGAGATATTAGCATTTAAAGATTTAGAACAGATAAGAATTAGTATAGTATTAAACAACCCTATATTTATACCATAAGCATATTCAAAAGTTCTTTCACGTTGTACACCAACCTATAAACAAAAATTATATCAACTCAAAAAAATAATACAAAACTAGCTATCAATAAGCTAAAATGTTGTTTTTTCAATACTCCATTTAATAGAAAAAAAAATGGGTTTCTATTTAACTTTAAATAGTTACACCTAAATCCTACACTTACTAACTATTTTTTCTTACAATAAACTAATAATGTTTACTGTAATTCATAAAAATAAATAAAATCGTCTAATTTTTAATAAAAAAATTATATAACGAGAAAATTGGCTGTATAAAATAACTATGTACCTATACAGTCGTAAGCTACTTAACTAATAATGATAATTTATTAACTGTTTAATTTATAGATAATGCAGTAGATAATTCAGAAAGTAATTGAAAATATAAATATATTTATTTATTTAATTACAATAAATATGATAAAAAATTATTTTCATGATAAATAAATTTATTGAGATTATAAAAACATATTTAATAACCGCTTTCCGGTTAATATGTCATAAGTTTTATTATTTACAGTCGTAATAAATTAACTAATGTTAACTAAATAACAACTTTTGTTAATCCAATTATTAATATCAAAGGATTATTTGGTTTAACTTGGATAATTAAAAATTACCTAAATACTTTTAACATGCAGCGTTTGTATAGATTTGTCATGTCATATTGCCAACAAGAGATAAACTCAGTTACCATCTATCCCTGTGGTCACAATGTAGGAAACTATTGCGCAAATAAATTCTCAAGAGGTGACGTAGATTGTCCTTTTTGTAAAAGAAAGATTGAAAATTTTGAAAACTTATGTAAGTAACATTAATCATATGTATTTAAGTTAACTTTTTAATTTACACTATTTTGGAAAAATGATAAATGACTAATATTTAAAAATTCTATATTTTTAGTACCTTTGACAGATATTGAATTTGAAAGCCAAAGCCCATACCGATTTCGTTCCCTTACTGAAAAAGAGTTGAATAATTTAAAGTCTAAAATTCAGAATGGCATGACTGACGAAGAATTTATGGCTCGTTTTTGGTACCTTCGACGATGCCAAGAACCTGATAAATATTTGCTGTGGAACATTGAGCATAAATTTATAACTGATGAAAATCGTATATATATCGCGGAGCTAAAAAAGAAACTTATTTCTGGTGAACTTTCAGAAATATCTGTATATAAAAATCATTTTAAGACTATCTTAGATGAAGATGAATATTTTGCGTTGTATGGATTTTATATAAGATTTGAAAATGGGAATAGAAGATACGAAATGGAAATACGAAAAAAATACATTAATTTCATACATATGTAATTATTTATTAATTTGTAAAATTAGCTTTCATATAAGACGTTATAATAACCAATTTTAAATTGTTAAACATTAAAATGGTGTGCCCAGTTGATTTACTAACCGTAATATTTATACATTCTAATAATTATTTTGCTTTCGAATCAATATAGTTTTAACGCATAATATATTTAAATCAAAGCAATGTTCAATATTTTTAAATTATATAACTAATTTCGTTTTATTTATAACATCTTAAGAAAATTTGGTTTCACTATCGAAATCAGTATCATAATAATCGACAGAATAACCGCCAAAATGATAATGCTCAACAAAATAGTTGAAACCCTAATCAGACGGTAAACGAAAAAGGGCGGTCCACCTGAAGTCTGATGACCTAATTTAATAGTTCCTTAAGTTAATATTTTTTCTCATTCTTTTGTTCATGAAAATACAGTGGTACCCAAATACTTGAACATGATTCTTTTGCTATTTTCCTGGTCAGTCCAGCTCAATAATTCTTGGTAATTCCTATGGATAAATTACTTAAAAAATCTCATAACAATTCTATTTTCTAGTCTTGACTTTTCTTATTATTCTTGGCAAATTCTTTTTGATCCTCCAGTTTGATAATTTACTGCTGTATTATAAGTATATTTTTTTAATAGTAAAACAAAATATCTACTGAATATAATTATTATTTTATAAATCAATATTGTTCTTTTAATCATATATTTACTTCAATCATATTTATATAAGTATTTATAATATTACGAAATAACATATTTTTCTAAGTATGACTTATGTATTGCGTCATGCAATTAATCACACGTTTAGCAAAACTACGGGAAGTCTTCGAAAAATATCAAATGGGCGAAAATGNTTTTTTTTTTTGTGTCTGTTACCACTTTTTCTCAGCTCTCACCGAACCGATTTCTTTCAATGATACGTCAAAAGATCACAAATCGTATCTAGTCGAAGACATTACCCTCAAAAATTGAAAAAAATTCCCTCGTTCTCCGTAAATAGGGGAAACCTCCGAAAAAATTACAAATTTAAAAATGGCTAATTTTCGAAATTTTTTTAATTTTTTTTACTAAAACCTGCCGTAACTTTTTTAAAAATGAACATATCAATATAATTCTTTTTTTTATAGATGCATGATGTCATTACCTATCATTTGGTATATTTTTTTTATAAATCTGACCCTAGACCTGCCCACAGGGGGGGCTTTAAAATGACAACCTTTTTACAAAAAATTAATTTTTTCAACTTAACTTTTAAAAGTGTTCCGGAAGGTCTGACACTTTTATATATATCTTAAATTAAAGCTAATGTAATATACTTTATTATGAAAAAAAAAGAATTTCGGACTTTATTTTATCTTCAGGGTGAAAATGGCTACCGCATGCTATTTTTGTGTGAAAATTTTCGATTTTGTATTTTACATTTTTAACTTTATTATGCTATAACTTTTTGAAAAATGTATGGATCATTACAATTTTTTTATGAGAAGTAGTATTTATATAGATCTTTCATTCGACATACTGTTTTTTTAAATCGGACCATTTCCCTAAATACAGGGGGGATTCAAAACATAAAAATGCATATAGAAAGTAGAACTTTTTCAACTAAACTTTTGAAAGTGTTCCGGAAGGTCTGACACTTTTATATATATCTTAAATTAAAGCTAATGTAATATACTTTATAATGGTAAAAAAAAATTTCGGACTTTATTTTATCTTCAGGGTGAAAATGGCTACCAAATGCTATTTTTGTGTGAAAATTTTCGATTTTGTATTTTACATTTTTAACTTTATTATGCTATAATTTTTTGAAAAATGTATGGATCATTACAATTTTTTTATGAGAAGTAGTATTTATATAGATATTTTATTCAATATACTTTTTTTTTAAATCGAACCATTTCCCTTAATACAGTGGTGATTCAAAACATAAAAATGCATATTATAAACATGCATATTATATATGCATATATAAACCTTTTAAAATGCGTATAGAAAGTAGAACTTTTTAAACTTAACTTTTGAAAATGTTCCAGAAAGACTGACACTTTTATATATATATCTTAAATTAAAGTTTATGTAATATACTTTTATTTGAAAAAAAAAATTGACCTCTGAACTTCGTCTTCGTGGTGAAAACGGACATCAAAGATAATAAAAAAAATATGATTTTTGTAAAAAAATGCTTTTTTATATTTTTTACTTTATAATGCTATAAATTTTTGAAAGATGTATGAATCAATATAATTGTTTTTTTGTAGATGCATGATGTCTTTACCTATCAGTTGATATATTTTTTTTATAAATCAGACTTTTTACCTGCCTACAGGGGGGGATTCAAAATGACAACTTTTTCACAAAAAATTTACTTTTTCAACTTAAATTTTGAAAGTGTTCCGGAAAGTCTGACACTTTAATATATATCTTAAATTAAAGCTAATGTAATTTACTTTATTACGCAAAAAAAAAATTTCGGACTTTATTTTATCTTCATGGTGAAAACAGACATTAAACTTAATAAAAAAAATAAGATTTTTGTAAAAAAATTCTTTTTTATATTTTTAACTTTATAATGCTATAACTTCTCGAAAGATGTATGGATCAATATAATTCTTTTTTTTGTAGATGCATGATGTCTTTACCTATCATTTGGTATATTTTTTTTATAAATCTGACTTTTTACCTGCCTACAGGGGGGGATTCAAAATGACAACTTTTTCACAAAAAATTGACTTTTTCAACTTAAATTTTGAAAGTGTTCCGGAAAGTCTGACACTTTTATATATATCTTAAATTAAAGCTAATGTAATATACTTTATCATGGAAAAAAAAAATTTCGGACTTTATTTTATCTTCACGGTGAAAATGGCTACCAAATGCTATTATTGTGTGAAAATTCTGGATTTTATTTTTTACATTTTTAATTTTATAATTCTATGACATATTGAAAAGTGTATGCATTAACATTATTTTTTTATGAGAAATAATATTTTTTAATAATCCCTTTTTCATTCGACATATTTTATCTTAATCAGGATATTAATAAGGANGACATACTTTGTCTTAATCAGGATATTAATAAGGAACTAGCAGTTTATGAAGCTTTTGGAATAATCCACCAATTTTTTAAAATTAAACACTATCTAAAGATTTGCATCGAAGCCTTTTTTTTTTATAGTGATTTTAATCACTGTCAGATATCATTATACTTGATCCAACTATGCCACGTCATCACTGTGCCGTGACCCCCCTGTGCTGGGTTTTTTTAAGTATGACTTATGTATTGCGTCATGCATTCGATAGAAAATTTAATTGTAGTGGTATTATTACAATACACAAAAATTCAAAATAATTATAGTTACAATATGTCTATGTCCAGAGATATAAATACATTTTTTTATATATCCAATGTTATATACATGTATTATACACGAAGTATATATATATAATATATATGTATAAATTGTATTTTATAAAAATATAATTAGTTATAACAATTTAATAATTAAATACATTATTTACGATTAAAATTAAAGTTCAACCCTAATGTAAAAAAGTAGAAATCTACACTAACTAAGAAATNACATTATTTACGATTAAAATTAAATTTCAACCCTAATGTAAAAAAGTAGAAATCTACCCTAACTAAGAAATTTAAATGGCAACGATTACTTTTTTTTTCGTTTTGGTAATTTTATTTAAAACGTAAATACTTTTAAAATTGAACAAATTATTCATGAGATTTTGCTGTTTAAAAATATCAATTTTAAGCTCGGGAGCACTTTTTGAACAGTAAATACTAATCAATGTGTAATTCTGTAAATATAACTTACTTTGACGTTGAAATAAAACAATTGTCTAACTTGGTTTTGACCAAGATCTTCAAGTATTAAACAGGAGAGATGAAAAGTTTTAAGTATTAATGATCAGTTGTGTAAAAGAACGGCGGTATTGACGAGGATGTAAGACACAGTATTAAGTTAGGGGTCTTCTAGTAGAGAGAAGCTTTGATATGTTATGCGATAAGAGAATTCTAATGAGGCAGAAAGATAAGTTCTATAAGACTGTAGTGAAACCAGCTATGATGTATGAGTTAAAGTGTTTGGCGGTTGACAAGATAGTAAATAAGAGAATGAGTGTAATAGAAATTAGAATTCTTAGGTGGATGAGTGGAAGGACTAGAGAAGATAGGATAAGGATTGAACATATAAGAGGAAGTTTAGGTGTAGCGTCAACCGAGGATAAGATGACAGAAAATAGACTTAGATGGTTTGATCGTGTTATGAGAAGAGAGGAATCAGTAGCTGCAAGAACAGTTATAGAAATGAATGTCAACGGATGAAGAGGTAGAGGAATAAATAAAAGGTAAAATTAAAATAAAATAATAAAATTCAATAAGTTAAATCTCGATGTAACCTATTAATTAGCTTCTGTCAAATGATTTAAGTAAAAATAAGAAAATGTAGATTCTTATTCTTCGTAAAATCTACTCTTTCCATCGCATTTAGCTTATTGATAGCATCAAAGTTCTGAAGTACCGAACATAATGTTTAGGCTGATAAATAAATAAAATGTATAAAAAGTTTTAAGGATATAAATGGTCATTTTTCGAAAATAATTTAAATGAACATGTATATTTGTTTTAAATCGAACTTGTACACTTTTTACAAGGACGATGTAATATTTTTGTTTTATGACATATGATTTAACATGATCGTGAATAAATAAATTAAAAAAATTATATTGCAATAGCTAAAGAAAAAATATCACGAATAAAAAGTATTTGAAATCATAATCTTATTCAAATTAGCGAAGTGCTAGTAGAATTTTGATATAATAATGAAATGGGCAAAGTTGATTTTTTTCTTTATTTATATAAAAAATATTATACATAAAAAAATAATTTGCTTATAATTAATTGAAATAGCTTTAGTAAAAAAGTGTATTAAATACATATTTTATAGAAAATATTACGTTTAAAAATAATGACTATTCTACTAGGTATATAGTGCGGGTTATCTGCACTCTGCCTGTATTACACACTCATTTTATTTATTAAAAACCTTGTAATTAGNGGGCAAAGTTGATTTTTTTCTTTATTTATATAAAAAATATTATACATAAAAAAATAATTTGCTTATAATTAATTGAAATAGCTCTAGTAAAAAAGTGTATTAAATACATATATTTTAAAAAATATTACGTTTCACAATTTTACTTTTATACTATTTTCGCTAAATGCTGTATTTCTTAAGTTAAATTTAAAAAACAACAAAACTATCTTCTAAGTCTTTTTTAGACTCTCTAGAAGCCATAGAAAAACTATGACCAAATTTAACTGAAATTACTTTCTAACAATAATAAAAAAAGTGGTGAGGGTCCTACTTTAATATGCTGAAAGTTTAAAAATAATGACTATTCTACTAGGTATGAAGTGCAGGTTATCTGCACTCTGCCTGTATTACACACTCATTTTATTTATTAAAAACCTTGTAATTAGACAAGCACTCGTTCTAAAATTGTTGTGGATCAATCAAAATTTTTTGTAACAAAAGTGCTAAAATATGACAGTATGTCAATTATACGAAGATGTATTTTAAACATAATATGCTTAAATATTACTATATTATTATTAAATATAACTCAA